CAAATCGCTCTTGCTTGTGACTAACATAGGGTAATGGTATTCAATTTCCGGAGAAAATCTTGTTATATACCATACCCTATTAGGTGAAATTAATGAGCAATCAATAAAATCGATGACAATATGAACGGCGGTTAAAGTGGTTAAAAATCTTGTGGCCTACTATACCTATCAGTCATCGATTACTCATTGATTGTCGACAATAGTAAATGTCCAATCAGCAGTTTACTTGTTGATTACTGATCGATTACTCATTGACATCACTGTCGCCATAACTTAGTTCAATGTATCGTAGGAGTTTGACGACCCGTACAAATGGCCGAACTAACTGCACTGCAGTTCAGAAGCGACGGGTTGAAACACGCTTATATATTAACTCTTAATATAACCACATGGGGTTATGACGTAGAACATACTACAGTCGCCAATAAATAATACACACGGATACTTAGGTTAAACCCTAGTCGAAAGGTCCATTTTGTTCCAATGTCATATAACAATGTTGGAAGAAACTGTTAAACTTTGTTAGAGCCCTGTTGGCACTTGTTAGGACAGAGTTTGATTGAAGCTAAACTTTTGACCAACATGAAAAGTCTGTGCGGAACAATGCAGCAACCAGCGTTGCTGGAAAAATGTGTTTGGACCGTTTGATGTAATATGTTAAACTCGAGAGACAGTGTTCCAACACATTTGGAAAGATCGAGAAGAGGGTTGAAACTAAGGTGCGTAGCAGAGTATTTTTGACCAACTTTGAAGTGTTTGGAAATGTGACAGAACACTGCCTTTAGTGTCTGATATTTGTTGTCCAGTCAGTCGAAACTAACCAAGAACCAAACTGAAAACCGGCGGAGAGAGAAAATCACGGTTACGGATATGGCGAAAACAACAATCTTGTCGAGGAAAAGGTGGTTGTTATTCATCGTGGTAGATGCAATAATGCAACAATCTTTATCCTTACTCTCTTAACTATAATTTATAATTTCATACATAGTTACAAGCAAAACTAGAGTATTGAGCCGTATGGGCTAGCGGAGCAAGGTAGCAGGTTGATATAAGTATTAAATGATTTATTAATGAGTGAGAATAGGGCTTTACACTGATTTCAGTGCAACACACATGGTCGATAAGACACTAAGAAATTCGAGTATATGGCTGTGGCTTTCTACCTGACATAACGCTGTTGCTAAGATTTACAATGCATTTAGAACAACAAACTAATACCGTATCACGAGAGATGAGCTAGAAGGGAAAATAATGGAAAAGATTAACACTAGAAACTTCTTGAAATATGTGATAATATATTTACAGTACAGCAGTTCCAATGTGGAAACTCCCTTTGTAACAGACCTGGTGAGTAACATTGCCTTCTTTAGGGAAATTTTGATCTGTCGAGTTCTTGCGAAAGTTGAAAGAATTCCCTGATGAAGTATGTTACTTAACTTACACTTTATCTCCCTGGTGTAGTGTGCTACCTGCGGAAGCTCCGATACTTGTTAACATAAGGTCTACGTTTCTCGCACTTGCCCTAGCCTGCCGGCTGAGGTTCCAATTCTCTAGGACCCTGAACAAAATGCTCAAGTGAACGCTTTCTTGTCTATTTGACTGATTTCAGGAGTGACGAGGGTAGATTTCTTGTTTTCATGTTGCAGGATTGTACTTTTTAAACGGAAGTCCAAGTTTCATCAGGTCTGATTCAGAGGGACGAATGGAAAATACACACATAAAATAAGAAAAACACACATCTGATAAAACAGCGTTCACTAAATACTACTAATCTAAAATTATTTACATGTAGCTAAAAATCTACTGAATGAAAATCTTCTAGAATATCTATCTATTCTATCTACTTAATCTAATATAAAATTATATACAGAAAAAAATTTAATTAGAATCCGTTTTTAAAATGTCTCATAAAAAAATTACAAATCTCGCGGCATAAAACATGTCATGAGCTTCAGAGACTACAGCGGTTAAGCCCCGTCCACACTACGCCGGAGGAATTTGAAAACGGAGGTTTCATTCTGAAAACGCATCAAATGTTTTCCGGCCAGGAATTTAAAAACGCAACAATCACCGGTCATTTTGGATTTGTGTTTAAGGAGTCGTCGTTATCGAAAAACAACGTTTCCAAAATGTTTTCTGTCCACACGAAAATAACAAAGCCGGCGTTTTCAAATTCTTCCAGTTTGAAGAGCGCTTTCGTGAGGCTCCGCTTTCTTGACGGATTGGTGTGGACGGTAGGGCTAACAGAACAGTAGAAATAAAGCTGCGTTTTTATTCCTCCGGCGTTGTGTGGACGCTGCCTTAGAGTTATTTTCCAGGCCTGATAAATCAATTTTTCTAATCTTGTACATGAATGAATTAAGACTAGGTGATGTTCTAAGACCTATGCTTAGTTTTGCCCGAAGAGAGCGTTCTAAACACCTGATATGGTATAATAGATGATTAAACCAGGGTGGCGTTAAGACAACCTAGTTGCGTATGGTCGTCAAATCTTAAGACGATTATGATACCAACGCTCTGGTTACCGAAGCGTCAGTTCAATTCTCAAACCTGGGTTAGATGCAAAACTAAGTGGTAATTACAGAATGAATGCGTTAATTGAGTAAAAAGTCCTATTTTCATCGAAAATGATTCTGTACCTTTCCAATCGTCGAAAACTCCTTGTATTCCACGATTACGTTTACAAGGCAGTTTTTCACAGTTTTCACTGGATCTGGTATCGTTTCTCCTGACGGGTTGTTGTTACAGACCAGCGGCTCTATCAATGATGGAGCAGCAGCAAAAGAGAAATCGGTTTTCTCTATTAGTTCCTTCCCACCATCCCATTTTCAGTACATAGTTTTGTTTGTTTGTTTTTTTTTTTGCAAGAACATCAATTGTTAAAGCGACTGATCGTCAATTTTAATCTTTTATGGGGGTACGTCGAATTCCTTCGCCCGCTCGCTTTTTCGGTCGTCCCCGCTGACAAAGAGCCTGGAGCAGGCTAATACTTACTTTGGTCTTATTACCGTGACCACATGGAGCACGAGGCCCCACTGTAGCCTGTAATGGTATTCTTGTCTTAATTTGTTAAACGGTGGCATGTTTGCAAATTACATATACAAGATTTTTTTTTTGCAATAACTGTAAAAATTCTCGCGCACTCATTGGCTAATTTTCATTGTCAATAAGCGGACAGACGCATGAATTTGTAATCTATGCGATGTTGACGCGACGAGCGACAGTGAGCAAGTCGCAATTTGTTATTGTAAAATACGAATTGACGTCAGTTTTTCAGGCGTCTGTCCTGTTATTGACAGCGAATTTCGTCATAACATCATCGTCGACATAACACTGACAAAGCTGTTGATCCGCAGACTGCTTTTTTTTTATAAAGTAGGCTGCGGATCAACAGCTACTTTGACAGTGTTATGACGAAATTCATGATCAATGACAGGACAGGCTCACGAAAAACGATAAATGATAAACATGATAAACCAAATCGAATAGACCTTTTCACGGTTACCTTTGCTCATATGCCTTACAATAAAATCTGGCATGTATGTGAGGCAATTTCGGGCTGTTTTGTAGTTTTAGCCCGAAATTGCCTCGCGTCCACGTTCGATTACATTGTAATACAAAAGAGAAAAATTAACCGTGAAAAGGGCCATTGCCCGGGCTATCTTGCACTGACAAGATAGGACTATCTAACAGTGGCGTGAAGAATCAATATTAAAACAAACACATCTGATCTAACGTGAACTAGCTTAGTAATGTAAAAGTGCAGTAGCTGGTAATTTTTATGTGAAACAATGAGAATGAATCAGTTATTTTCCCTCGCTAGAATCGGTGTAAAAATATGGAACGGTATCCTACTAGAACTCCGTGAGTTTAGGAAGATACCCTTCAAACGAGAATTTACTGAAGTAAATTTTCGAAAATGAGGAGAGAAATGTTGATATGCCTATTTAAGTTGACTTAAAACGTACGCATTTCATGTTTGTCACGTGTGCATAAGGATCGGCAAATCAAAAAAAAAAAAAAAAAAAANGAAACATGTGGAGTCCCACTGTTTACACATAAATTACACTGCATGCAACATAAGTAATTAACTTACAAACAACATGAGTTACAGTGGTCTCAGACAAGATTGACAAAAAAAAAAAAAAAAAAAAAGGGAGAATGGCTTCACTCTTTAGGAGTAGCTTTCATCCGTTAAGAGTTTCATTGAAACTACTTGACTTCACTTTTGGTGGATTACCAGAACACTTAGTTAACTATAGAGCGCTTTTCACTTCAGTGTCAAAAGTAATCCTCATTAGCTTTGATTACATTAATACGCTTTGCTATTGGTATAAAATTAACGTACCACTTTCTCATCCAGTCAGACGTGAAACCAAAAGTTAAACAACTCGCGACTCACATTTTCCCGCGCCTTGCGTCAGCCTCGTGTATATGGTTCGAGTCTTGATTAGTTTACTGGATTGTCAGTATTCTCCCTGATTGGCCAGTGATTACTTTGGTTGTGGTTACTTTTCAACACTCAATTGAAAACCGCTCTTATAATCAATTAGATAAATAGTTATTCTGATTCGACCCTAGTCACCTTTTAGTGGACGTCTGAGGACGAGTCAGATCAGTTTCCTCTAGTTTGTGAACAGGCTCCAGGCGAGGGGGAAAAAATTTCGGCGAGCGAAGCAAGTCGACAAGCGCCGCTCGCCATTGTCTTTTTCGCCCTGTAACCGAATCGGGAGCCTGTTCAAAGGCTAACTTTCTTTTAGAGATATTGAAACTATTGTCTGCTTCTAAAGTCGGGGGAGAAAGTATCGGTAGATGGAATTTCTGGCTGTCGAGACCGGACTGAGCTCGCCGGCAATGTTCTTCTCAAAGGTACTAATGGACTTTTGAAGTAGTGTAGATTGCTCGCACTTTTAGCGCTGTTCTTTGATAAGTGATTAAAAGCTTTACGGTATTGACCGCAAATACAAACTTATTCCCCCGATTCTCTAACTGTAACTTACCAGGTTGTCTTAGTTATATGTTTAGAGATCCAGAGTATCCACTATAATCTTTAAGAACATGGTGTCGTCTCGTACGTAGGCGTGATTATTCAACTCTGACAGTGGGCAAAACAAGGGGCACCCGCTTGCAATGTTTGTCTCCCGCCTGGGCCTTTGGAAAGACGAGCTGGTTGGATCGGGTCTGAACGCATCGATCACATGCTCCACATTGTCTTGATCCAACAACATCATGGTGACCTTCTGTCTGAATGGCCAGCGGAGTAACGCGTCAAACTCGCCGCGCATGACGACAAAAAACAGCGACAAGTGTGTTCCTTTGCCCATGCCGTCCCCATTCAAATACAGACGGGCGCACATTTTGTACCCGTGGCGACTGGTGTAAAAACACGGGCTATAAATAGACGTCTGGTTTCCGCTGATGGCATCGTTTCTTCGGCGAGCGTAATCCGATATTTTCCAAAGCAGTGTCCCGTCGTACGTGGAAACTTGCTGCTGTCGGACATATTCCTCGATGTCTGAGAGAACAACGTTCCTGAGCGCTAAATTGTGCTCTGAAGATTCCATTCTTCTCTCAAGTCGCCTTATGCTATCCACTGCACCATCCAGCTGGCGTTTAAGTGACGATACCTCTTGTCTCAGATCGTTGAGTTCGCGCCCATTCTCGCTTATTAGGAACTC